CACCTCCCACCTCCCCGTTCCCTGCTGGTAACCACCATTCTGTTCTCCTAATCTAAGAATTTGTCTTGTTTTAGTCATCCATTTGTTTTGTTTCTTTATCTTACACATTTAAGGGAAATTGTGCAGTATTTATCTTTCATTTCATTTAAGACAATACCCTCTAGTTCCATTCACGTTGTTACAAGTGGCAAAATTTCAATTTTTTTTAACTGAGTAGTATTCTGCTGTGTATATGTACCATATTTTCTTTTTTTTTTTAAATTTTATTTTTATATTCCCCATACAATTGCAACCCCCTTATTTTGACCCCAATTCCTCCTTTCCCCGTTTCCCCCCCACCATAAGTGTGTCTCTGGTTCATAGTTGTTTGTTGATTTTGATTTTTTCTTTCTTATAGCTATTCTTTTTCCTGGTCCCTTATTTAGGTTTTCTAGATTCCTGCTATGAGTGAGAACATCCAGTATTTTTCTTTTTCTTTCTGGCTTATTTTGCTGAGCATGATCCCTTCCAGCGCCATCCATGTTGCTGCAAATTGCATGTGTTTATCTTTTTTAAATGCTGAGTAATATTCCATGGTGTATATGTACCACATCTTCTTGATCCAGTCATCTATTTTGGGGCATTTGGGTTGTTTCCAAAGCTTAGCTATTGTAAACAGTGCTGCTATAAACATAGGTGTACCATATTTTCTTTATCCATTCATCCATCAGTGGACACAAGTTTTTTCCAGTTCTTGACCATTGAAGATAATGCTGCAGTGGACATAGGGCTACATGTGTCTCTTCAAATTTGTGCTTTCATATTCTCCTCATAAATACTCCAGTGGAATAACTGGATCATTTGGGATTTCTGTTTTTAATTCTTTGATGGACCTCCGTAGTGACTGCTCTGATTTACATTTCACTATTGGGGAGCGAGGGTTCCCTTTCCTGCACATCCTTGCTGAAACTTGTTTCTTGTCTTTTTGATAATAGCCATTCTCAGAGGTGTGAGTTGATAATTTATTGTGATTTTGATTTGCATTTTCCTAATAATAAGAGTTGATGAACACCTTTTCATGTGCCTGCCGGCCATCTGTATGTCTTCTTTGTCTATTTGGATCCTCTGCCTGTTTTTTAATTGGATTGTTTGCTTTTTTTGTTGTTGAGTGGATGTGTTCTTTATATATTTTATATATTAACCCCCTGTTTGATGTACAATTTGTGAATATCTTCTCCCATTCAGTGGGCTGCCTTTTCATTTTGATATTTTCTTTCACTGTGCAGAAAGTTTTTAGCAATATCTGAACTTTTAAGTTAGTTCTAGTATAGATGTATTATATATGCACTACATTTTGTATATATATTGAATTATTATTATAATATATGCAATTGTATATATATCATACAGCTATGTTATAGCACTCTTAGAGACCACTTTGCTCACTTGGTTGGAATCTTCTCTGACTCTATTTCTCCATCAGGACACCCTCCCCTCCAAATTCCTATGCTTTTTGCTTTAAATTCCTGGAATCAAACCAGCAAAATTTAGAGGCATATAAAATTATTCACACTAAGTATTAAAGGGTATGGGGTTTGTTTATTTGCTTATTTGTGTGTTTGCTTGTTTATTTACTCATTTATTTGGCTAGATTTTTCAAAAACAAAATTTATCCCATTTTAAACCTAGATTTCGAGTTATGTCTTCAGAGTCAAATAAGAAGTTTTCTCAGGTCAATTTTTAAAAATCCACCTTACTTTTGCATGCAATAACATATTCTGGGTAATTAAGTATAATGAACCATGCACTGTGAGAAAATCCTGATTCAAAAAAGGAAAAAAAAATCTGATAAAGAAGCAGCAATGTGCAGATTGCTGAGAACTGGGTTTGATAAGTGAGACCTGCCAATTTCCCTATTTTGTGAATAGCAGAAAATCCCACCATGTGTTGAAAATTCACCTCAAGGCTAAACGGGAAGCTATGATGCCTCTAGTGATTAGCAAACACGTATTTCCAATTTGGGGCACCTACAGTTAATTGTCTTTTTTGTCGTAGGGATAGCTTTTCTGGCTCCTCCCCAGAAATATATCATCCTCTCAAAGATACCTCAATATAAATAATAGAATAATTGTAAAAATGAGCAAATGTACTCCTCTGCGTTCAAGTGGTTTCCATGGCAATGAGTGAGCCACCAGTGCAAATTTCCTCTCAGCCAGCCACTCGGTGAAGGACCCAGCTCCGCATCTTTTAACCAGAGGCTGCCTCTGCAGCTGAGCTTGTAAAGCCCTATTTTTGTGAAATTAGAGGACACTCAAAACCTATCAGAGAAGAGCTGCCCACCTTCTAAATCACAGATCTCTCAATTTCTGTCTTTGTAATCCCACTCAAACTGAATACTCAGTTGGTTCCCTAATGGAGTCGGCAGAGAAGTGATTCATACCAACCCTAAGGGGTCATTAAAAATACTGTTGGTAATGAAGTAAGATAATTTATTGGAAACATGCACATAAAAATCACTCTTCTTTCCGTTTCCAGTATAGTGAACTATTTTCCCTTTAAGAGACACAGGAAACTGCTAATATTTAGAGGTCAGTTTCATATTCTACCTTTATGTTCTTGCACTTTCTTCTTCTTCTCCCCTTCTTCCAATTCCTAAGGGTTTGCTTCCACGTCAGCAGTTAATGCCCAGAATATATTAAGAAATTCATTGTTAGCAGGATGTAGGGTAAAGAAAAAATGTCAGGCTTTTCTGCCCTCCCACCATCAGGATAGATGATGTGTCCTTGCAGTCCTGAATGCATGCCTGATGGCGGGCACCTGGTACAGGGTGTGGGTGGATGTGGATGGGATTCACCTGGGCTAGGACTATGCTTTTAAGGGTGGTGTCACGGGGACGCTGGCGGAAGCCGAAAGAGAAGCAAGAGCAGCAGAAGGAGAGGGAGAGAGAGAATCATAGAAAACCTGCCCTGTGTCCATTCCTGCCCCTTACACAGGATTCATACCCTGATACAACCTGAAATGGCCAATAGAGGCAAGCAGTGGGGAGTGAGAAGAGAGGAAAGGTCAATGCCAAACACACTGGATGTTTGGGTGATGCTCAGTATCCACAGGAGAGGATTCTCCTATAATAGGATCCCAGTGTCTCTCAGTCAACTTAGGCTTTGATCTCTGCCCGACCCTGAGCCCTTAATTTCACGGCATAATTCCTTGCATCTGGAAGACCCTTGACTGATTCTAGAAAAGCACTGAGTCCTCACACTATGCATTTGTGAGTACAAGGGGAAAGAGCTTGAGCTCTTTCATTTCTTGACCTTTTAAGGATTCTGGGCCCCTTTGATTCTGATGAAGGCTAAGGTCTTTGCAGAGAAGTGTGCATGCATGCACACACAGCATAATTTCATTAAAATTTTGGTTTCTTTCAATTTCAGAGATTCATGGGACCCCACTGGAGCCCATGATCTTTGATCTTTCCAGGGTAAGACTCACAGAGCAAAATGTATTGGTCAGGAAGAAGGATATGACCCCATCCTGGTGTCTTATTTTCTGTCCTGACATCATTTCATCCCTGCACACTGAGTAAACATCTTCATTTTTTGTTTTAGATTTATTTTATTTTATTTATTTGCACAAAAGCTGGGGTGTAGGCTGGAGGTGTTGGGGTGGAGAGGATTCACCAGAGACAGTGGGGAACAGAACAGGCAGATGCACTGAAATACACTGCTGAGGGGAACAGCAGGCGAGACAGGAGAGGTCTGGGGCGCCATGAGGGTAGCTCCCTGGCGGGGGCTCCAACTCATGCTGCAGTGGCTGCAGTAGCTTCATACTGCTGAGACTTAACCCCTTGCACCACCAGGGAGGCCCCTCTGAGTAAACATCTTTGATGCCTAATCCCTGACGAGATACTTTGAAATGCAAAACAAAAGAAAAAGAAAAGGCAATGCTTGCCTTAGCGGATTTTGTGGATAAATAAGAAAGAAGGGAAGGCAAGCATCTGCATACACAAATAAAAAAAAAAAATAATGCCCAAGGGTAAATGGTGGGGGGGGGCTGGAAATAATCACAAGGCGCCCATTAGAAACAATTATTGGGGCCTCCCCCGTGGCATAGCAGTTGAGCGCTGGGTTCGATCCCCGGCTGCTCCCCGGCCACCGGAGGAGGGTCCCACATGGCGCGCAGACCTCTCCTGCCGCCCGCTGCTCCCCTCAGCAGTGTACTTCGGTCCTTCTGCCTGCTCTGCTCCCCGCTCTGGCTCTGGTGATTTCTCTCACCCTCCCGTGCCTCTGACTGTACCCAGTGCATGTATAAATAAATAAATAAATCTTAAAAAAAAAAAAAAGAAGAAGAAAAGAAACAATTCTTGGATAAAAATCCAATCACTGGTTGCCCCAGACTATAGTGGGAAGGGAATAAAAATCTTTCAAAAAGTTGGCCTCTCTGACGTCCACACTCTGATGGGTATACGTGTTTCCTCATTCACAATGTTGTTAATTTTCCCCACATCCGGAACTGGCAAGGAGAAAAGATGAAGAGTTTATAGGAGATTAGGAATTTTTCTCTTCGCTTGAAAGTGGCGTGGCTCTGCATCTTCTCTCGCCGTTTTTAAAATAGTCGTTGAAAACCCACAGAGCCAAGAAGCTATTTCCTTGTCCGTCGTCTCAGTGACTGAAGTCAGAAAGCAGCTCTGTTATGGGAAGAGTTCATGGAAGTTTTCTTAGTAGAGAAAAAAATAACAAAAGGGTTTTTTCCAACTAAAAATATTTATGTGAACAGGAATACTGCACTGTATCAATCAGAGGCAGCGCGCGCCTGCAGATCCAGCCCCCCTCCCCCCCTGCAGAGCCTACACCAAGCTGGGGGAGGCCGAGTTTATATAAAAATGAGTAACCAGCACTTATTCTCCATATGTCACAGGTCTGAGGATGAGGGTCTTGCACAGGAAGTATGTGCCTTTGGCTTTCCAAAACAGCAGAAAAGGATGTATACTTCAGATAGCGTTTTCTGGTTTCTGTCATTTTTTTAAGGTCTGCATACAACTGTGTGAGGTGACCTAATGATGCAAGCAACTCCAGGCACGGCTGCATTTTGGAGTTTCACTCTGTTTACGTAAGTTCAAAAACTGACATCATAATAAATTTTATTTTTATATTCCCCATACAATTGCAACCCCCTTATTTTGACCCCAATCCCTCCCCTCCCGCCCCCTACCCCCCATAGAGTGTCTCTGGTTCGTAGTTTCAAAAACTGACATTTAAGAAACAAAGCTTTTGTAGACACAGAGGCAAGAGTGCACCCAATTTAACACTGGCCGAGGTGACAACGTGCTCCCAAATTGGATGGATTAGAATGCTCTTAATAACGACAGGAATAATCTCAACGATCACATGGAAGCAAAGTGGTAAAGTGAACAGTATTATTAGAATTTTAACATTTCTATTTTTAATCTGATTTTTAAATTGGTGACATTATTGCTGAGCAAGGACATTATAAACTGGGAAAGAAGTTGCTCCTCGGTACTGCACCAATGTCCCTAGATGGTTTTGTACTTACTTAAAATTATGTAGAACCATTTGCTAATTGTTTGAAAAAGGAAATAGATATAGTTAGAAAATCCTTCTGTTAGTCACCAAGGGAAGGCCTGATGCCTGGGATCCAGTTTCCATCCCGAGTCTCAGGATGTCTGAGGTCAGGTTAGGAAGCCTCTAGTGAGCCTCCTTCTACCCAAACCCTCTGCAGCAGCCAGCACCACCGTGCCCTTCGTGAAGCTGCTTCTCAGAGTCTGCACCTCAATACCCTTCACTGTCTCCTGCTTTCTTATCTGCTCTTTAAAATCCTCCTCTATCCCTCCCTCAAGTGTGAATTTTCACCCAAGAAGCTATTCTTGACCTTTTCCTCTTCTTGTTGTCACACACTTTCCCAGGCCGTTATCAACTATCTCATGATTTCAACTCTTTTATAAGCCAATATTTCCAAACTCTCCTCAGCCCAGCCTTCTATGCAGAGCATCAGGCCCAAACTTCTGTTTACCACGGAAGATATTTTTGCTTGACTATCCATGGACCATTTGAACTTGGCACATCTAAAATAAATACATTAGGGCCTCCCCGGTGGCGCAGCGGTTGAGCACTGGGTTGCGAAGCTGCCCGCGGCCTCTGCAGCGCCGGTTCGATCCCCGGCTGCTCCCCGGCCACGGGAGGAGGGTCCCGCATGGCGCGCAGACCTCTCCTGCCGCCCGCTGCTCCCCTCAGCAGTGTACTTCGGTTCTTCTGCCTGCTCTGCTCCCCGCTCTGGCTCTGGTGAATTCACTCACCCTCCCGTGCTTCTGACTGTACCCAGTGCTTGTATAAACAAAACAAACAAACAAATAAATAAATAAAACATGCCTCTATTAATAAAAAAAAAAATTTAAAAAAATAAATAAATAAATAAAATAAATACATTATCTTCATCCTCAAATTTACTGTTCTCCCTGCATTTTCCTTCACTGACTAATATTACCACCATCCATGCACTCATTCGACAAATATTTATTGAGTATTTGCTATGTTCTAGGCAGTGTTCTAAGTGTTTAGGATACATTAGGGTATAAGATTAAGACCCCTATTCTTAAGAAGTAGACATTCTGCATAAACACAGGCCAGAAACTCTGGAATCCGGGGCCTCCCTGGAGGTGCAGGGGTTAAAGAGCACTGTCAAGCTATTCCCAGCCACTGTGGCACAAATTCAATCCCAGCTGGCCAGGGAGCAACCCACATGGCACAGCAGACCTCTCATGTCTCACCCACTGCTCCCCTCAGCAGCGTATTTCAGTGGATCTGCCTGTTCTGCTCCCCACTCTGTCTCTGGTGAATCCTCTCACCCCCTTAACCTTGGGCCTACACTGCAGTTTTTCTATGAAAAAATAAAATTTATTTAAAAAATAAAAATGAAAACCAAACTTAAACCTCTGGTAGCAAAGCCCCCCTCTCTCATGTGCTCATATCCTACTGACTGGCACCTGTGGGCTGCTTCCCAAATGCACCAAGGGCTTGCCCCCCTTTGTGTCTCCTATGGAGCAGGCGCAAGGTCCTCATCATTTTCTTATATCTTAGCACAGATGTAAATAATCACAGCAATAGACACTAGATATTAACTGCTCATTTAATTGTCAGAGACTATGTTCATCACAATTCAAATCTATACAACAGTCTTGTGATGTAAGTACAATGATTATTTACTGCTTTAGAGAAGAGAAAACTCACACTTAAGGATAATTAGCCCAGGTCATATAGCTGTAAGTTGCTCCAAAGCCCCTGCTGTCTGCACAGGCTGAATTCCTCCCACCCCCAGTATGTTGCACATTTTAGGGTCTCAATGAATTTGCATTAAACTATTGAATTTTTTGCTCTCTTTTTTAACTATGTCTTTTGCTGGAAACTGCCAATGACATCTTAGGAAGTGAATAAGGTATAAATTTGAATCAAAATAAGTTTAATTAACAAGGATATCTTGAAACAGTCTCTTCAGATTTCAGAACTGCAGTTCTTTCAAGGTCAATGTAAAATTTTCTTCTCTTCTTCCCTTGTTTTCTTTAGCACTTGGCTTGGAAGGTTGCAATTGTCAGAAGTCAGAGAAGATGGAGGGAAAAAGCAGAAGGCACATTGGAGCGAAAAGAAGAGGGACAGATAAACCCTAGCTGTGTGAAGAGGCTCTGATCAAATTAAAATTAACAGATGGTCCTGATAATATGTCTCTGGAAAGTGGTATAAGTAATAGGAACTGAATTTAAGCCAATTTGAGATGTTTCTGGATTCCATGCCCACAGTCCTGAAGCTTTCACCTGGACACTTGCTCTGAGAAGTGACCCTCCCCTCCCTGAGGACTTTCAGCTGCCGGGAATTTTCCAGACCAGACCCCACCTGCTCGGTGTTACCAATCTCTCAAGCTTTGCCAATAGGTTCATAACCTTCCTCCTCTGCTGCCAATTTAATTGTATGCTTATATAGTTGTAAAGTAAATTCCTACCGATTAATTCATATTGTGGTTTTATGCATTTGGCTTGAGTCATAAATGGAAACTTTCCATTTCTGTGGGAGATTTAGAGATTGCCACATGATATAATACAGGGCTGTAGCCAGCAGAGTCATCCATCTCCATAGAGCAGCGCCACCCCTGCCTGTGGTCAGATAGGAGGGGGAGATACATTTAACCTTGGTCCTGGTAAATGGGGTAGGGGGTTAGCAAGAGGTGGCCAAAGTTGCATAAATGACCTTACCAGTGGCCCCAAGGTACAGGCCTCCTCTTCCAAAAAAATGTCAGTCCCCAGCATCAAAAAAGTAAAATGCTCACTCTCCCTCACCAGCCTTCAGCCCTTCCTAAAGCAAACCTCAATCTTGCCCTTCTCAAGCCCACCCTTTTGGCTTAAAGGATGAAGGATTCTTTGATTTTTAGGGGAGAGTATTCAACAAAGTGGGCTGGAGGGAGGAGTGTGGGGTGGCCACATCCCTGTCCTTGTTGTCATCCTCTCCTAGCAGCAGGTCTAGCTCTTCCCTGACAGAGCTAGTTCCCAGTGGAGCCAGTGGGTTCAGGTCCATTGGGCCCCAGGGCAGTGGGTCTTAACCTAAAATCTACTGCTAAGATGTCCACTACAACCCTTATGGAGGAGGTGGGCAAAGAGGTCAGGAGAGGCAGCGAGCAACCACAAACTAACAAGAAGAGAAGGCTATGGGGACGGAGAGAGATGTGCACCCATACCACTGCTCTGGAAGGCAGGCAGGGCCAGGCAATGCTTCAAAGGGAAGTCCTTCTATTTGTAATTTACAAATATCATTTCATCTCATTTGTTACCTTCATTCTGTAGATTAGAGAACTGAGGCTTTTGGAAGTGGAGAGCATTGATGTTTGGCAGGCCATGGAGCCCTTCTAGGCTCTACTATCTTCCCCTATCACTAAACAGGTCTCCTATGTGTTCTAGTTTTCATATTGCACAGGTTGAGACTTTCTCAGAAACACATCGTGGCATCATTTCCACCACACTTGTTTGCACAGTCCTGCAAATGGTGTCTGTGGGTCCATGCCATCAACCTCTGCCAGTGACAGATGGGCCAATGGCAGGCTTCCCAGAACCAGTTCTCAGAGTGGACCTGTTCCAAGGTCAAAAGGTAACTTCCCTCATGGAAGTTACCAATTTATTCCATGTTGATTAACCACTTTCTAAGACCTTACTCTGGCCCAGGGACAGAAATTCAAACAGCTTTAACGAACAGAACAAATAGAAAGACAGGTGATTATGACAATAGGAAGCATTGCAGATAAACTAATGTCTGATTTTAAGGAAATGATCCAGGCATGTGTGGATAAAATAAATATCAAGGCTGGTGATACTTAGATCCTATAAGACCTGATCTGGGTTGGGGTGGCAGGTGAAGAGTGTGTTAACAAAACAGTTAAACCTTCAGCTATACTTTTATTGTTATTTAGTCTACAAAGAGTTACATACAAGTGAATCGTTTCTGCAACTCCTTGGTTTTATTAAATACAGTTATTTAATTCTGTATTTAATTGGGACTATTCCATTACCCTGACATTGATGGCAGCCCTGCCCATGTCAGGGTTGCCTTAGGCCCTGCAAGAATTAGACTCAACATTATATTATTTCGCTTCAATATTTTATGGACATCATGATGCTGATTTTTAATATAGATCTTTTTATGATGATTTTGATGGTGGCAGAATAACTTTTATGAGGACAAACCTGGTTACTATGTATGTAATTCATTGGGGCTTTAAGATGTAGAAATTTGATTGCCTGCCTAGTGTGGGGACTTTTTTTTATTGCACATCCAAGTTTGTTTATGAAATTCTTCAGCACCAGATAATATTTCTGAATGATAAGAACAGGGAGTGTTCATGTGGCCTCATGGTGATGGTGGTGTGGTTTAAGGGTCTCTTCTCTCACACGCTGCTATAGAGCATGCAATGACTCCACGTAAAGACAGTATGGCTTAGTGGTGCACGGAAGTGATTGAACGCACAGTAGACTCAGAATATGAGTCCGTGTCTTCCCTTTTAAGAAACCCAGAGAGCCTGTGTTCACCACACCATAGGGCAGGTCTACCCCTCTGTAGGGTAAAGAAAATATCAGGCTTTTCTGCCCTTCCGCCATCAGGATAGATGATGGATCCTTGTCCTGAATGCATGCCTGATGGCGGGCACCTGGAATAGGGTGTGGGCATAGGTAGATGGGATTCAGCTGAGCTAAGACTGTGCTTTTAAGGGCGGCGTCACGGGTGGGGGGGGGGGCGCCAGCAGCAGCAGTAGCAGCAGCAGCAGCAGCAGCAGAACCAGCAGAACCTGAAGGAGAAGCCGAAGCAGAAGCAGAGAACGCCAGAGAGCCCAGATAGAGTGAAGACTTGCTGGGGGCTGGGAGGTCTGCCAGCCTCCCAGCCCCCCAGCCAGCACCCCTGCCTGACATATGCCTGGTGAACCCCAAATAAAAAACCTGCAAAACTACTGAGGACTCTGACTCCTCCTTTACCAGGTCTGCATGGAATCAGAAAACCTGCCCCATGTCCAGTCCTGCCCTTACACCCTCCTGCACCAAATCTCCTGATTTGGCAATTCTTTGTGACTTCCCGACAGTTCTGTCACACGATTGAACCTATTATCACCTCAGTTACCATCACCTATTAGCAAATTCTGATTTTTTACTACCACCTCATGAGTCTCCCCACCACTCACCTCTCTTCTCTCATCCATCTTTGATGCCATATATTTTTTTAAAATTTATTTATTTATTATTTATGCATAGAAGAACTGGGGTGCAGGCCAGAGGTGCAGGCATTGAAAGGATTCACCAGAGACAGAGTGGGGAGCAGAACAGGCAGATCTACTGAAATACACTGTTGAGGGGAGCAGCTGGTGAATCAGGAACCATCTGCTGCACCATGTAGGTAGCTCCCTGGCCGGGGATCGAACTCTTGCCCCAGTAGCTGCGGATAGCTTCATAGTGCTGCATCTTAACCCCTGGTACCAGCAGGGATGCCCAGTTCTCTGAGTATATTGTAAGCAGCCTGAGGGTAGACCCAGTCCTTGTTGTCTTCCCTGATATTTTCACCCCCTCCATGTTTTATTGAGGTGACATTGGCTGACATTATTTTTGGTATTTTGGTAGAATAGGCTCCCAGCTTCCATCAGGTACAGCTACTGAAGTGCATCAGCCACCAAACCACCCACCATCCACCACCCCATAGTCCATTGTGCTCTTCCTCCTCTTTGTCTTCACCCCTTCCTTACCCCCTCCCCCTCTGGATGCTTCAGTTCCATAGTCAGCTTTCAAGTATTAGTTTTTAAGCTTGTCCATACCTGACTCTTAGTTTGGTTTCTCTATATTCTACATATAAGTGACGATATGGATATTTATCTTTCTCCTCCTGAAAGAAATTTGATTGCCTGTCTAGCGTTATCATTTAGCATTATCACTTCCAGCTCTATCCACATTGCTGCAAATGGCATGAGTTTCTCTTTTTTGATTGCTGATTAATATTCCATTTCCCTTTTTAATTGCACCAAATTAGCATCCAATAACTGTCTGTGTTTAACAGGTCAAATCATGCCTGAGGTGGATCGTACTGAATGTGAGTGAGTGTGACTATGTCCACTGTGTCTCCCTCCCAGCCCTGCAGTGCGCTATCTGCCTACCCTAATTCCCATCCCATGATTCCCATGAAAGTAGGATGGAGAAGCACACCTATTGCTTGCTTGACCCATCATGCAGATACCTCTTGATACATTTAAACAGAGATAGAGTCTTCAGTGTTCAAAACTGTGTTCTGGAGTTGAACACTTTACTCATCTTCTAGAATTAGTGAGTTTCTGCTGTAAACTCAAAAATTGTATTTATTTTATTCTACCTTCCATCATCCCTTTTCTCTCCTGCCTTATTGTAGGTCACTGAGGCTCAAGATCACAACTTGTACATCACCCTGTATTCTGCTAGAGCTGGAGCAATGCATTGCATAGATTTGGTATCCTGTGGTTGTCATCCTGGTCAAATATGGCCTTCCTGGAACTGCACTGGGTTCTCCTGCACCCCCCGGGCTGTTACTGCCAGCCCCCTTGGGCATGGGCATGGCAGTTGACCAGTGTGTTCAGTGAATGGCAAGTACATGAAGGATACTTCTAGGCTGAAATAGCTCGCTGCTGGTTTGAAGCCATCCACAAGCTCTCTTTTCCCTTCTGACTCTGGGTAACAATAATATTTCAAATGATGGCTGTCCTCTCCCCCTGATAGATGTCAGTGAATAGAGACCCCTCATCAGCCTCAATGAGCACATAGCATGAACAAGAAATAAATCATTGGTATTTTCAGCTACCACGATTTGGAGGTTGGTTGTTTTTGCAATAAATCTGACCAATCTCTACTGACATCCTCAAAGAGTACTTATTGAAGGGAAGAAAAAAAAGAATGGGTTAGAATGCAGTTGATTTGTTTTTTTTTAAGTCTTTTGTAATTATGGAAGCAATTCATATTAAGGAAGATACTTGCTACAATTCTCATTCTTTTCCAAGGTTGGCATTAAAATAACACACCACGGAGTCAAGTGATAAGGATAAAGCAGCAGGTGGAGTCATCGGAAAAAACACATAAAAATTAATAATAATAATTATTGCCACTTACTGTACTAAAGCCTTGGCATAACCATCCCATTTAATCCTCATTATGAGTTAATGAGGTAATGGTGTAATTAACTCCCATTCTGCAGATGATAAAATTAAGATAGGGAGAAACCAGATAACATGCTCAAGGTCACACAGGTACTAAGTGACAGGACTCCATGCCAAGTAAGCAAGACATGATTTCCATACGGATGATTTCCATTCTTACTAAAACAACCCAGAATTTCTCTCTGGTTACATCTGGGGTACATGAAGTTGAGTGGTGAGACTGATGTAAGGGAAAGAAAACACCTGAATAATTCCACTCTAAATAGCATGTCAACATATTTACCTAGATGGAC